CTATACTGAGCATGACATCATATGGTATGGAATAGCCCTTTGGCCAGTTTGGGTCAGCTCTCCTGGCTGTGCCCCCTCCCAGTTTCTTGTGCACCTGGCAGAGCATGGGAAGCTGAAAAGTCCTTGACTAGCATAAGCAGTACTCAGCAACAACTAAAAACATCAGTGTGTTATCAACATTCTTCTCCTACTAAATCCAAAACACAGCACTATGCCAGCTACTAGGAAGAAAATTAACTCTATCCCAGCCGAAACCAGGACACACATTCAATTGCTGAGGCAACACAGGGATTTGTTACAAATTAGATTGTAAAGACTGGGAAAAGAGTGTGGAACATTTCTGAAGTATGGACAATATCTGCACTTTCGTTTATTACGTAAAAAATGTCCCAAGAGTGGAAGAGTAGTCAATATGCTAGTTGAGAATTTGAGTTAGGTCTTGCAAATGGGAAACTGCACAGCTTACCAGCGTTTTTCCAACACTTTCTTTCTGTATGTTCTTCATTTCATGCATGAGGAGAAGAGAGATCCAGTTTCCTTTACCTATGCTGTTCTAGTAGAAAACTTCTGTTTGTTCTCCCTCACCCTCTCTTGCTTTCTGCCTTTTTTACCTTCCTGCGCAGGAAGATAAAATCTGGAAGCAACCCTTGTTTCAACAGTGAAACTAGATAGGGATTGCTAGTTCTCATTTCTGTCTCCTAGAAATAGATTCTTCCTTTTTATCAGTGAACCTCAGTAAAGATCTCCTGAAGATACAACACATTATCTTTCGATCCGGCAAGGTTCTGATGAAACAGAAAATAGGCATCACCACACAACATTTCCAAAGATTCAGGAAATTGTTTGATGTCTTTTTTTTTTTTACCCTTGTTTGTAATCCCTGAACTATTACCTTTATCTCAGGCTTTGCCTGGTACTGCACCCGATACATTTATCCTTAGTGTGCAGTTAGACTGGTGCATTCTGATAACCACCCTTACATAAGCCTTTTTTTCTTAAAGCATGGGTATTTTCTGTATGCTCAAGAACTTCAGTGACTTGGGATTTGAATCAAAATCATAGCTTGTTTACAAAGTCCATGTGAGCAAGTTGTGTATGTTATATGCCTCTGCAAAAATTATTGGGGTAAACTATTGGGATGTTTTTCCTTTTTTTTTCTGTTGGGTAGGGTTTTGACTTAATCTATCTTCAGATAAGATAAAGTACTTTTCCCCCAGCACTGTAATCACTTGGCTCCTAACCTGACATTTCTTGCAGTCCATGAAATACTCCTCAAAATTCTGCTTCTGACCACAGTTTCCAAGTGTTACTTCTTAAAACACCTCAGGCAAATTTTGTTCGATAGATACGATTTTCTTTTAGGTTGCCTTTTTTTAAAGCTTGGAAGTTTGCCTTCCATTTGCAGAAGTGTCACTGTGACTGTTAACAAACTATAAGCCCACGGAATAAAATACAAGCTGCATAGAACAGGTAGGATAAAATATTTAAGGTATAGTCTAATTACAGAGAGTGAAGTAAGGCTGCAAATGCTCATCAGTTCAGTTCTCAGCCTTGCCTACTTTGTGTAGCATTTCAGATGAGATCTGAATTTGATCGGGATCTTTTGAGTGGTATTACCTGTTCATGTAGTTAGACTGTATCAGAAAGGATAAGCTTAAGTGTGCTGAAGTTTGGGTGATGGAGGTTTTAAATGGACATTTAGTGCAGATGTGTGTACAACTCTGTAGGTAACTAAAACTTTATACAAACCTTGGATATTTTATGAAATTGGTATCATAGTGTTCCACAAGGGACCATTTACGGCTGGGGTACTATAAAAACAGAGGGACAATCCATTGTCATGTCTTTATTACAAATGTTTTACAAATGTTGGCTGAAAAGCAGTAGATTGTTAAGACAAATACATGGAGATTAAGCAAACAGCAAGACACTGCTGACCAGTGTGGTATGTAGTGATTTCAGCAAGCCAGCTGCCTGTTACTCAAAAGGATTTCCTTGTACTCATTATATGAATGGCACTGAGATGATTTCGTGACTGCTTAAAGGAATTCCATATAAGCATAGAGGCAGAGGAGGAGCAGCTTGAGAAGATGATGAAGGTGCTTTATTTGAAATGGTAACCAAGCCTTGCATCAGTGCTAGAGCAGAGATGCGTTTTAATAGCACATGAAAGGTGGTATGGGAGCATGGATTGTGGGAGGCCTTTGAAATGGGGATGAATAATTTTTCTAACGTAATGAAAATAAAAAAGGCATTTGAAAGAATATGATGTGTGGTTAGATGAGGAAATGAAATTATCTTTTCAGCAGAATTTGTTATGTAAATGAGAGGTGATTGCATTTGTCAGGGTGAATGGAAAGGATGTTGTAGCAATGAAAAATGAAATGACAACGTAAGAAAGATTTAAGTGGAGATACAAAATACTTACCAATGTTCTGTTGGAATTGCCCAAATGTAGATATGGGATAAATACGAAGATTTAGAAGAAAAGGAGTAAACTAAACATAATGTACAGATAATTGATGTGCATAACAAGGAGAATGGTGGCATTTTTCACAATGACAGGGAAGGTATCTGTGTTCAGTGGAGGAAAGAGTTAACACTTTCAGATTAGCTTTTTATAGTAGAAGGCTGAGCAGTGCATAATCGTGCTACTAACCTCGTAGAAAATTATTTAAACAAACAAAAAAAACCCCACTTTAAAAGTGCCTGACAGTAATTTTGACTTGGGGTCCTTTTGTCCTGTAATTTTAGTGTAGAACTTCAAAAGTTTTAAAAATTTCATTCATAATATTATATGTAAGTGCTATTGTTGTTTGATATTCCTATTTTTAAAGAGGAACTAATGCTACAAATATCCTGCTGTGCCAAAGTGTTAAATGGTCTTAGGGAATTTCTGCCACTTATGGATTCTTTTTGTAGGCTGGATGCATCACACCGTGGATCAGCTTGGAGACAAGGCAACCAAGGAAAGCTATGCTATACAGTATCTCCAGAAATCTCTAGAAGCAGATCCAAATTCTGGTCAATCCTGGTATTTCCTTGGAAGGTGAGAAGTGACTTTATAGACACTGTAACTGTATTTGTAATTTTTTGAGGACACTCGTTATTGTGAGTATCTTACATTGTTTTTCCTCTTAATATTTTCAGAGGAAACATGAAGGGAAAATATGTATGTATCTACTGAAGTCTAGTTTTCTGGAAAGTGTATAAAAAGACAAGGTGCTAACATATTTGGGATTAATATAGATTAGAAGTTGAAATGAAATATGTTACCCAAGCGGTCCCGCTTTTTGTGTAGTTATTATTCAGTCTACACATTTACAGTAACCTGAGTCTGCCCTGCCTGGTTTTACCTGTTCCTCCTACTACTACTACTCCCACCCAACTCCTCGTTACTTTTCTTCATAGCTTTTTCACAATTCTTTATCTCCTTATTTTCTCAGAATCTCCCTTCTAATCTCGAGCAATTTTTGCACTAAAATACAAATATTTTCCCAGGTATACATCCATATCTAAACAGCATATGTGGTAACTAAATACTAGGTCAAGATAGCTCAGATTGATCCATTCTAATATCTGTTTAAGTGTTGTATTAATTCTGTACTATCAGACAGTATTTTTTACTTGAAAATTAACTTATTCCAAGATGTAAATCATATAAATTTGATGACTTTTCTTAGTCTTCTTTTTAAGAAAATAGAGTACTTTACAGAAACAAGCAGTAACTCTTGAAATAATCAGGTTTTGGAGAAAGCTTTGAGAGGGCAATTCAAGTCCATATGTGAACAGGTCAGTTTTGTTGAGAAATACATTAGAAAGGAATTATGCAAAAATAAAATTAATATCCTAACCTCAGTACCTTCCAGCTGACTTTCTTGGAGGTTCTGGTCACATACAACCTACTTTTGGTTTTGTCATCCTAATTATATTCCTCCAGCTGTTCTGTAAGACAGGGCTCTTCGACCAGCTGTCTGCAGGCTAAGGGAGGAGCACCAGCACTGAGGGTGAAGGGCAGGGGGCTAGAGCAGATGTGAAGGGAAAAGGAAAATGGGCCAGGGATCATCTGGCTCATCATCCATGGGGCTGAAATCCTGGTTTTTCCTCAGTAGTCCTGTTCCACATGCCTTGAGCTAGTTGAGTTCTTACACAACAGCAGGATGGAGCCAGAGCTCAATGAAGTATGTGCACAGCTGCCACACTCCTGCTCCTACTGTGCCACGGCTTTCATGTGGTTAGAGTGAAACCTAGGACCGTACAAACAAGGGGGAGAAACACAGGAAATGGGGGAAAAAAATCTAGTGGAAGCATTTCTTAGACTCTACAGGGAGGACTAGAGCAAAAATATTTCTGTGCCCCATTCCTTCAGTCCATACGCTGGCAGGAGAAGAGGAAAGGTACAGGGTTGTGCATTTGCTTTTCCTCTTTTTCCTCATGTATTCCCTTGTGTTACTCCTTCCTCTGCTGGTTGTCCAAACAGGATAGCAGGTTGGTTGAAGCTACCTTTCAAAAATATACCACCACCACCCTCTCCCACTGAAAAAAATCCATCACCCTGTTTTAAGTTTTGTTGGGTGCTTAATGTTAGTGCTATCCTAATTAGAGTCTTCATGTATCTGATAAGCAGACAGATTGAAACGTGTCTATTGGAACTTGGATTGGATTGTGATTAAAATGATCTTCTGAAACATTGTGTTTGGACTCAATGGCTGTTCTAGGCAAAGTACTGCTAGATTTTATTGTATTCCTTTCTTTGTGTGCCTCAAGAATACATGAAAGAGAGTAGCATGTTTGACAAACCTTTGCCTGTACTGTTCTGCTTGGTTTTTATTTTCTACGAGAATAAATTTTCTGTTGTTATTTGTGTGTTTTGAAAGTTGTCAGTTCTTTTTCCAACAGGGAAACTTATTACAAACAATATAAGAAGCTGAGCTATTGTAGATTAAACTAGTAAATATATATTTTTTTTAATACTGTATTTATTTGAAGCTTTTCATTTTAAAAAGGTAGGTATTATTCCCTGTAGTATAATTGTAGTTCTCTTTAGAGTTCTGGTATTTCTGCTTATAATGCCAGAATACCCTTGAATTTGTATGTGAAAAATAGTCAAGTAAGAAATTAGGAAAAAATCCAGAACAGCCAGATTTTTTACAAAATTTCGTGCTCTGTATATGCAGTAAAACTAACTGATTTGTTCTTCATTACTTGAAATGTTACTGAGATGTGAGAAATGCACATAAAAAGCTTCCCAGGCAATCAGGAACCATCTCTTAATAATTCTGAAACAGTTCTTGTAGAACATGAAGTTTCATAACCATTTGTCTAATAAAATAGGTAACTTAATTGTTTCTTTATAATGCTGTTTGTAGATAAATATAGTTCTTATTGACTGAGAAGTTATCACAAATTAAAGAAATGTAAGTCTTTAAAATGTGGTATGACTTCTGTTTTCTTTATAAATGCAATAAGCTAGGGTTTAAGCAATTTTGGTGTGCTTTTCAAATAAATAATTAGTAATACGTGTTGATTAAGATATTTGAGTCTGCTTATGTCCGGTGTTAAGAAACGGCAAATGTTTTGGATTCATCTAGATGAGTATGTATTTGCATGACTTAACATTTATCAGATCAGTCTCAGTAAGCCACCCTCAATGATTACCTTCTATAAATATTACCAAAGTTCTTTTTTTCTTCTCCCAGGTGCTATTCAAGTATTGGGAAAGTTCAGGATGCCTTTATATCTTATAGGCAATCTATTGATAAATCAGAAGCAAGTGCAGATACATGGTGTTCTATAGGGTAAGAATGATACAGGGTAATACAGTGATATAATTCAATACTAATATATATAAATAAAGAATATCAGCTTTTTAACTGTTGTACTCTCAGGGGGACTGTAAAGCTTTTTTTATTTATACTTTTGTGTTGTCAGACTTGTCTGATTTGAAGTTTAAATAATAAATTTATATTTGCTTTCTCAATTTTTTAAAATACTGAATATGCTATGTATACAAGCTTTGCATGTTAAGATTTTATGTGTTGTTTATGCTTATTACTGTGCTTTATATAACAGCAAAGTTTATTAAGGGTTTTGAGGGGGATGTGTATATTTGACTTGTTTGTATTTTGACTTTGTTATTAATTCTCAACTTCACTAATCTTTCTATTCAGTGTGCTGTATCAACAGCAAAATCAGCCTATGGATGCTTTACAGGCCTATATCTGTGCTGTGCAATTGGACCATGGCCATGCTGCAGCCTGGATGGACCTAGGCACACTCTATGAGTCCTGCAACCAGCCTCAGGATGCCATTAAATGCTACTTAAATGCAACTAGGAGCAAAAATTGTAGTAATACCTCTGCACTTGCAGCACGGATAAAGTATTTACAGGTAAAACTAAAGTTTTAAGAAGCGGGAAATACTCTTCCAAATACACAGCAGAGGGGAGGGGAGAAGTAACACACAAGTTTAACTTGCAATTCTTTGTGGTGTGTATAACTTGTTCTCATGTGTATTGTAAGCATATCATAGCCTGTAATATTTTATTTCTTCATTTTTAAGTGAAACGTAATTCCTTATAAACCCTATTTTGCACATTTAATCAAAGCATACTGTTTTACATCACTTTGCTTTTTTTCTTTGTATTGTCTACATTTTTAAGTTCTCATAACATATAGAGAGAATACACACACGCTATCTTTCACTCTTGTTTGCAATTTCAGAAAAAGGAATTATGAGACCTCTGAATCCAGAGCTCATCTTTGTTCTGATTCTCACAAAGGTTTATATTCTGGTTACCCTCTTTATACTTAGCACCTTTCTAAAACCCCAAATTTTAAATCTATCCTCTCTTTAAGACATAATTAGCTACAGCATTTAGGAAGATTTCATGGACTTGCTCTTACTAAAGTAGGCTTGTGTTAAATTTGCTTTTTACATAATTTTTCCTAGGCTCAGTTGTGTAACCTTCCACAAGGTAGTCTACAGAATAAAACTAAATTACTTCCTAGTATTGAGGAGGCATGGAGCCTACCAATCCCCGCAGAGCTTACCTCCAGGCAGGGTGCCATGAACACAGCACAGCAGGTGAGAAGTTGGGTTATGTTCTGCAGGTGCCCAGCTTTAAGGGTTCTTTACAATCGGTAGTGGTCAAGCTTATTTTATTGAGCACAGGACTGGCTTTTGTTAATAAAAAGCCTTTGATTTATTTGCAAAGGGATACTAGATCAAGAAGCTCCCTATAATATGGGAGAAATATGGGGGTACCAATTTAGAACCTTTGTGGATTTTCATGATTTTAAAAGATTTCATCTTAAATAGAAATGCTGCAGTGATTTAATAATCCCGTGAAAGGTACACATTCCTCCATTGATGACCATATGGAAACTGATTTTTCAGTTATTGAGATCATCTTCAGAATATCTACTCGGCCCTTTTAATATATGTGGGCTGTTAAAATATATAATTTAAAGGAAAGAATTAAGAATATATAGAACCATATTTTTGTCTTCCTTCTGTGATTCTTAGGCTTGTAAACCTCATCATCCAAATACTGAACCTGTACTAGGCCTCACTCAAACACCAATTTCACAGCAATCCTTGCCACTACACATGATTCCTTCTAGCCAAGTAGATGACCTGACCAGTCCTGCCAAGAGGAAAAGAACATCTAGTCCAACAAAGGTATATATCCTGATGAACTAGAGCCCCCTACCAAAATTATATGGAAATAATGCATTAAAGTGATGCAGCATGCACAGAATTTGTGCTGTGAATTTTAATCCTTTGGCATCAAGGTGGGGAATGTTTTTAGGAATTTTAACAAACATTTTTCAGTGTTGTGCTTAATCAGGTTACAGTTCAGTCGGGAAGTGCATAAGGGCAATGCAGATTGGTGGCACTATACTACAGTCATAGTTGTATAAGTGAAAAAGTACATTCGTAGCCTGATGATAGATAGAGAGGGAGACGATCATGTCATCCTGTCTATTGCCTTTGCTTATATTTAGAATTCAAGTGTTTCATCATCATGTAATAGTGTTACAGTAGATAAAGTATTCAGTTTTAAAAGTAGTGTACATTTAAGTTAATTGCATAATTTGATTTGTTTGTTTCTTGTTATGATATTAGATATCATTTTAACTTTTTCCTCTGACTACTCTGATACTGTATGGGAATGGTAGAATGAGACTTGGCACGTTTTAGTATATTCTTTGTTTATATTGTTATTCTTGAAACAATGACTAGTTCTTTCATAAGTAAGATAAAATCTAGATAGTAAAAGAAACTATGTTGACCCTTTGATAGTCATGCATTTTAATGTAATGTTTTCTCTCAGAATACTTCAGATGTTTGGAGCAGTGGCCATACAGTGTCACATCCTCTTGTACAGCAACAAATTCATTCTTGGTGCTTGACACCACAGAAATTACAGGTAGGTATATTGAAGATCTTCAGAAGCTTTGATATATTTTTTGTTTCTTTCTTCCTTTTAAGAAAAATAACTCTGGAACATTTTTTGGTTTCACATTTCTGAAATTCAGTGTGAAATACTTCCCAAATAATTCCCACACAGTGTAATTCAAGTTGTGCTAATATTTGTGTCTTCTCTATGTGAGATTAGTTCTATAGTAAAATAAATGATCTCTAGCAGAAACTGAACACTTACATTGTATTAATTCTGTAATTTATAAAGTAAGAACATACAGTAATTCTTTTTTCTTATGGTGTTTTAAAGATAGATATGCAAAGTGCCACACTTGTGTGTGAAGTGAGTTTTGCTACTTGCCGTAATGTGGGGATATTGAAGGAGGTGTAGGTATTGTAATACCCTCTTTTTCCTCTGAGGTAGCTTCTTGTATCAAATTGCATAAACAATCATGCACATTCTACAAAATGCGGTTACTCAAATGAAATCTGGTGCTGCTTTTCTGTATTTTATGTCATCTAGTGTATTTATATGAAATGCTAGATTTTATTTTTGAAATCTTGTTTCAGATCTTTTTTGTTATGATGTTTTGTTGTCTCTTCAGTTCATTAGGGCTTGCAGTGAGCTTCAGCAGGAATTCCATGTTTTGAAAATCAGGCCTAGCTGGAAACTCTTACCCATGTATCACAGATACTGCTTTGGATGCAAGGAAAAATAGAAGGGAGCACAGGGCAGAGACAGAAGGCATTCTGATTGACTGAGCAGTGTTGCCCTCAACTCCAATGTAGTTCTTCAGCTGTTTCTCTATCTGAACAATACTGGCTTTATTATGCTGCATAATTCTTCCCTCCCTCTCCCCCCGCCACCTCCCCATCCCTTTGGTCCTCCCTAATCACTCTTCTGTATCTCTCTCTCTTCATGCATTCTCATCATTTCTCTCTGTTTATTTTATATCCTACTACTTTTTCACCTTCTTAGTTTCACCTTTTTCCAGGTCCAACTTCCTCCTCTAGGTAGTGTCTAAGTAGGCTTCGCTATCTAAGTACGATACCTGGATTTGCTGGCAATACCTTGACAAGGTTCCAGCATATATGAATAGGAAAGCCAAAAAGATATGATGTAAGAGGATAGTGAATAAAACCTTTATTACATCTTCTAAGTCAGCCTTTTAAAAGCGGCAGCTCAGAAGCTGGATGGATATGGCACATAACACAAACCAAGCAGCTCAGCTGACAAAAGCAGAAGTGGAAAGGGCTATGGCCACACAGTAGCCTCCGGGGCTGCAACATGCCAGTGGAGGAGGGACGGGTATTGGTTTCACAGAACTGGGGGGCAGCAAGAACAGTGCTGCCCACAAAGCCTCTGCACCCATAGTACTGGGGAGGAGCGCAGACTGGCCTCTGCTGACATATGTGCTAGGTCAGTCTTTCTGATTTGTGTTATCCTATTTAGACATTTTTTAAAAAGCAAAATAACAACTGAAGAGCACTGGTTTTGGCTCCTGTGTGCCTGGCACGTGCACTCCCATGGAGACCCTGTTTTCATCTCACAATCATATATAGCTATATATAGATTAGTCTTATTCATTGTATTCCCCTACAGAGGGACTTCAGAATGGAAGCTACTGTTAAGCCAGGGAGTTTGGCATGAACCATCTATAACCACTTTTTCAGACAATGTTGGATTTTTTTTTTAGTTGATAGTTTGCAAATACAGTTGTTCAAAAAAATTGTCCAAAGCACTTCAGTTCCGTTTGTGTATTACTAATACAGCATAATCAAAGCAAAGGAGACGAGAGGGATTTAGAAAAATAATACATGCGGACCTGAAAGGAACTAAAGGAACCGTGATTTGTGTTGCTTTTGGTGGGGCTTGGTTTGGTTGGTTTGTTGTTTTTTTTGTTTGGGTTGGTTTGCGGTTTTTTTGAAAGGATTTATAATGATGTGAAGTAGCTTAGTGTTGAAGAACAATCAAAAAAATTGTCTATATGTCACCTTTTGCGTAGCACAACTTTTGCCCTCCGCTCCAGCTCCCACCCCCACTG